CGCAAACTCTTCGCTGCCAATAGTATTCTGGAACTATTTACATTCGTAATGGACATACTGGGTGACATTCTAAGACCTTCTTCAGTAGCACTTCACAAGCTATGTAAACATTTTCAAACTTGTCGCCGACTTCTTAAGAAATGTTTTTCGAAGAGCATCGAGCACTTTCCAAGCTGCTAGGAACGAAAACCTCCCCCATTGTACCTCTGATCAATTTAAGGATCAAAATGGGATAGTGTTCGTATGGGTTATGTGAAAAATAAGCTGAAGTGCTTTTATTCTGAAGGCATACCTTTATTTTGACTTGATGCTGACTTTGAAATGGCAATCGCCCTCTATACGTAAAAATAGCCATCATTCACTATTAAAACGCAATTTCAGGTTGGTCAGTGACCGATACAATGCGAAAAGGAGTGGTTGACACACAGCAATATGAAAACAATCCAAAGGAGCTAATGCTGGGACAGGTGGCCATATTAGGAGGTTCGCAATCTATTCAGTTCTTATAAAAACGATAATTTATGCATACTTCGCTTGTACAACAACTGCTTTCCTCGATTTCGTGCACTTTGTGAAGCGCACCGCGGTCTGTCAGAACTAGATTGTACCAACCCACGCACGTCAATCAGCAACGGAGATTGCCACACTCTTCTTGCTACTGCCACACCTAAAGATATTGCTTGAACGGAGATATGAGCTCTAAAAATCATACTGAGCAAAAAACTTTGTGTCATCTTTTTTCGCTGACATGCAATAAGGCAGAGCCAACGACAAAAAGCTTCTTAGCAAAAACTGCATTAAAATCTAAAAGGATGGAGTCCGTGGGCGTCAATCGATACTTTCTGAGGGATGTGCCCCTCATTCGATTTCCATCCAGAATCGTAGGGGCGTATTGACTGTGTATTTGGCCTATACAATGACTTCCGGTGGCCAGCCAATGTACAAATCAGTGCTTTTGTCCTCCCACACGAGTCTGATCCTGATTAACCGACCTCGGAGGGATGGGTGGCTCGAGGGCTAGGCGGATATCGATCAAAGATTTGAACCCGTGACTATACTTGTGTGATAGTGCGTCACATAACACTACTACATTGTACACTACACCACCTTCGCCCGGAGAACGTCCGTTGCGCGCGTCCTTCGAAAGTAGGTCACCCCGCCCACTCCGCGCGCGGCGCATCCCAACTGAGGTCTTGGCATGACAGTACAGTACCACCAAATGTCAGTGGAGAGAATGATTTGCATTTGTCCGTGTTATCTTCTTTTGGCTGACTGCTGTGGACCAAGCGCAAATCGTATGCCCCACAGACAACTGCGACGTTTGTCAAAGGTCGCGGGCTGACGCGTCGCATGCTAAGGCTACGGCGTGACCTAGTTCCGACGGACGCGCGCAACGGAGCGCACCCCCTTCGCCCAAGTAGTGCGTATAAGGTTGCAAATAATCAAAGCTACATACATAGGTATGCGGATTATGCCTTTTGAACCATATTTGCATAGTTTTCAATCTGATTGTACATTTTTGATGGCGACTTAGTAACTTTACAGGGAAGTAGCATAGCCTTATTTTGATTCGAACAGGTCCCACAACGGATGTTAGGCGAATAAAAGTTGGGCCTCGGCTCAAAGCTTCGCGATGTCTGCGCTGTCAGGGGGAACGGGAGACAGTCGTCATAATTATGAAAGAATGTGCTTGAAAAGGGTACAGTTCTACAAAAAATGATACAGGATGTGCTGGATGGCTTCTAATTGCCACCCTGTGCCGTATGCCAGTCTCGACTACTCACTCATTGGTTGGTGCTACTCTCGGTTTCTCCATAGTCCTGCGTGGATTTCATGGGATCCGATGGATGAAGATCGTCGACATTGGTAAGTCTATCATTTTACGAGTGTGGGTATTATTATACTTGAAAAAAAGACTTTGTTAGCGCGCGTATCACTTGAAAAAAAAGCTAAAAGTTCGGCGTAAGGACACTTTTTCAGTGGTCTCATGGTTTTTGTCGCCCGCATTATCTGGCACCATTTCTGTGATTCTCTATATGATAGTGGACTTTAGCGTATTGAGAAGGGTGAGTTCAATTGAAGGCGATGAAAGTTCTATTAGTCGCAATCGATGTGACTTATCAGTAATGTTCAGAAAAAACCCTTCGAATGTGGTCTGCGGGTGCTGCCAATCTTCTACTTTATCTGCATAGCATTTGATGTATTAATGATCACGTTGGACGGCTCAAGATGTACGCATGATTCAATTAAACAGCTAATATTTATATTTAAAAAAATTCGTCAAAAACGAATTAGAATCAGTAATTACGGGCCTTTTCCGTTTCAGTGCTGAAATTCGACAAAATCCCCGTGTGGGGAGCCGTCATTATCTCTTTGGGATGTGGATTGATCGCGGCTGCTTTCGTTCAATTCGTAATGAAACCGCGATTCAACCGGAAAATCCAAAGTCTGTCATTTCTAAGGCGATTAACTTTTGAGACATTGAAGAAAGGTTACAGCAACATCATCCGTTATGCCCGTTCATGCAGTCACAGTGAATTCTGATCTGGAAACAGATCGATTTGATCATCAAAAAAGCGAAAAGGACGTTGAACAGGGACAGAACTTCAATGGTAAGCTTACAGTTTCTCAGCAAACCAGTCAAGCATAGTGTTGGCTTTGAAGCAGACTTACAAGAACGAGATTGAACGGTCTCCATGAGCAGTTTCCCTTTCGTGTTGGCTCACTTTCAATGGGACTGGGAGACGGGCAGTAGGAACGGTTTTGTGTAATCGATCTGTCGCACGCGGCTGTCGTGGACCATTTGCCTCGCTATAACAGTTCTAGCGTTCTTCATACAGCTCAATCGCTGTATGCGATTTTTACATTTGTCATGATTGTAATGTTAGTTCTTTTGTTCCTGTACTTCTTACTTGCTGCTGCATTCTGCTACATTCCTTCGCGCGCGGCGTCTCTCGCCGCGACGCGGTGGTTTCGTTCCTACTGCACCACACCCAATGGAACTAGAGCGTCTTATTTACTCTTGGGAAGATGTTACCGTTTTGGAGTGGCAGTATATTCTTCAAAGTTTATTATGTGTAATTGTATGTACTATGATTCGAAGCGAGCTACGTTTCGGGCCTCAAAAGCATTCAGATTTATTTTGTAATGCTCGAAGATACCTTGGTCGTGGATTTGTCGGGGGACGGAAGGCACTTGCAAGTATTTTTCTTCTGGAGCTTCCCAGATCTCAGATACACTTCTGTTTAGAAACGTTCCCAATTGAAGTTTCGCAGTAATTTCAATGAGGGGTGTTTTTCCCAATTTTTGTCTAACTTTTTGATCTGACACTAATGATATTCGATACAAATCACTTGCTGCAGACACGTTCCTTGAAGTCATTTTGCAAAACCTCGCAATTTTCTCTTCCTCGTTTGTTTTAAGTAAGGAACCAGATTCTTTAATATCATAGAGTGTACAGGGAAAAATTTTGTGGATTTTCTAATATAATTTTCAGTATTTTGCTTTTTCCAGATTGGAGGCCCTTACAAGCATTTTAGGTTTCAAATGTCTTGGATGAAAACTTTTTTTCAAATACTATTGTTTCGCTAAAAACCTACTGGTTTCCTAGAAATCCAGTAGAAAAGATAAATTTATTACCAACTTGCACCCCCTTCCATCCTCCTTCACCTCCTAGTCAGAAAATTAGTGGGAAAGATGGAAGAACCACACGAGAAAGGAGAGTGTGAGGATATAGAAGAGGGAATTTCGTTCCCCAAGGCTCACTGAACACATAGAGTCATCACTAGCCACTTAGGATCCGAAATTCGTCCTTGTTCATACTATCGCAGGCCGGCAGGCTTTATTTTAAAAAAAAACGGATCCACAGAAGTAATCTATTCTGATGATTTCAGGTGTGCGGTCGTTTCTCGGCTGGTTTTTCCCTGATAAGGATCGTATTGAAGACGATCAAACAATCAAACTCTTCTCAACAATACAAGTAAGATTTGATTTATATCGAAAAAAGGTTCGCAGAAACAGAGACCGTTACTATCGGCCACGCATCTTATTGAAGATTCAGTTAGGTCACATATGAAGGAAAGCCAACTTACACTGGGAAACTCATGCTTAGGAAAAACGTCGAACAAAACTTGATTTAGATGTTTGTTTTGTGAAATATCTATTTACAGGTATTTACGGCATGTTTCGCTGGATTCGCCCACGGTGCCAACGATGTCAGGTAAGGAAGTCCTACTTAAACGGAGCCATAAGGACTCCTGACTAGGTAGCTGGTCATAGTCCTTGGTAAGATGATGGCTGCCTTGCCAGTGCTGCAGCTGTTCTCTAGCGATTCCAAAAGAAGTTCGATCTTGGGTCGAAAAGTTCAATGTTCTGGGGGCGGCCCCACCCAGAACTCTCCTGTGCATTGTTTCCTATCATAATACCACCATCTGGAGGACGGGATTTACTCGCGTCCGAGGATGCGCGTGGCAAAGTTTGTGACGATTTGTACGACTCTGACGCTAATTTTCGAGGCACAAACTCAAAGTAGAGTAGTTAAGTGGGGTCAGCCTATTCTACTATTCTATTCAACTTCAAATTTGGGCCGCAGTGATAGGCGCTGAAGTCGTTGAAATCGTCACGAACTTCGCCGCTACATCCACACATACCCCCACCGGTCCTACATCCACATACCCCACCACTCAAGTTTTTTTCGCAGAGAAACTCCCAATTTGGAATTGCATTTCCAAGGTCCTATCCATCACGTGTAATCCAACTAAATTAATAATGACATTCCTACTTGTTCAACTTTACTCCGCACTTTGTTACATGCATTTTCAGCAATGCGATTGCTCCTCTGACCGCTCTAGTATCAATATACAAAGACAAAAATGCCATGCAAGAAGGGGAGGTAAGAATGAGTGGCTGAGCAACAGAAATAGTGACATATTGACTCAGTTCTGGTAAGGTTTTTACCTTTTATCTTCCAGGTTCCTATTTATATCCTACTCTATGGAGTGTTCGGAATTTGCGTAGGATTGTGGACTCTTGGGCACCGAGTTATCCGGACCGTTGGTACCAATATGTCAGAAATCAATCCAGCAACGTATGTTTTCAAAAGAATACAAATTTTCTTAAAAATAGAAATTATTGATTCAAATTGAATGGGGAACAGAAATGGCAACCATGTAGAGTTTGCTGTGAGCTAGTTGTCTACGAGGATATTCAGGGTAAATGAACTCCATTCGCACGTGATGATGACGGAGATGGTGCTGTCCCCAGTGGCTCACTGCCACGCGCATAGTCCTGGAGGGATCGAATCCGGTATAGCTAACCGCTCAGACAAACCGCTATCTCGGGTAACACGTTTGTAAGGCTCCGAACGCAAACCTCAAGGATTTTCGTGAAGAAGTGTGACCGTGGAACTAACGGCGTCCTGTTTTTGATTTGATGTCCCGAAAGATCCACTCAATAACCACCTCGACCCTACAGTCATCCCAGAATCGCTTGATACATCTGACTCCGTCCAGCTTTGATTTCTTGGCCTCGTTCCACCCCTCACTGAGCGACGGAGCTCGAAGCTACATAAGCTCTCTGCAATTACGCATATCAAAAAACTGCAAACACTTTGAATTTCCTAGCCCGTTGGATGACGCTGACTCTGCCTTCATAGTGCTTACAGAGAACTCAAGTCTTTGGGGTCAGTAAGAAGGATCGCACTGTCGAAATGTTCTTGGCCTTTTTCACTAGTCTTCCGATGTTCGACTTGTAGACGCTCCCTTCACCACGTCTTGCTTTCTGTTCAACTCTATAATTAGTCCGTTCTTGACTTCTCGGAGGGGGATCACGTAGCCAGAGCATTCACAGATATTCGTACTTTGAACGTGAAAGGAGCATCAGGAAATCAGTCTCGTCTCATGAAGACCTTCTTCGTTGGGTGCAATCGAGAGCCGACCTCCTCACAAAGGTTATACAATTCGGTCAGTGTTCGTTCCAACTGCTCGGTGTTCATTGTCATAAGCACGATGTCGTTTGCAAAGCGCAGGTGGTGTAAATGCTGGTTCTACCTTTTCCTATTAGAAATTACTTATGACGTATTCGATAGCGGCTATAAAAAGCATTGAAGAGATGGTATGGCCCTGCTAAACCCCTCTTTCAAGATGGCTATGACTTACTTGTATTAGAATGGCGATCTACTGGTCATGAAGTTATTGTAACGCTCCCAAACCATTTTTATATATTGAGTAAGAATATACTGGTTGCCCATGGTTCGGATTGCACTTCTGTCTCGAATGTATCAGAGGCTCTCTTGAAATTGACGAACTTGAGGTACATAACGACTCAACGCCCCCCTCCTTGTAAAAGCTCTACTTCTTTGATTGGGACGGGGCCTGAATGTGGAGACGCATCCCCGGACAGGATAAATCATCGCCATGATTCTCAATTTTCGAATTTTCATTTTCGTTTTAATTGAGATTTTGAAACAAAATGGTTTTTCTTATTTTTTGAAGCTCGAATGTTGGCCAGGGAAGAAGAAGAAACTATTTTTCAAGAAGGTTTTCACGGTCTATGGCCTGAATCCTCACGTATTTCAGCGTTCTCGAACTTTTTTCTGTCTTAGTTTGAATGATTTCAAATCATACTACATGCCTTATATGCTTCGCAGTGAATCATAGAATTCTTTGAAATTTGTTTCAGTGGTTTCACGATAGAGTTCGGTGCAGCCATGACGGCGTTGATCTCAAGCAAACTCGGCCTTCCGATCAGTACCACGCATTGTTTGGTAAGAATGTTACTCAAGACAAAAAGCCTTACAATACTTTACTCTGTACTGTCTGAAAACTACCGGAGCAGTCTATCAGTGTCTCTTTGCATGTTGCGGCGGATTTTCGTCTACCAACATTTATTAGAACAAGCTTGAAACCACCAAAGGGAAAGAAACGATTGCTTTGAAATAAGCCACCCCTATGGAGCTTATCATTCATTGCGTACGCTGAAGAACGATTCTTTCATGTTTATAGATAGAGGACAACGGTTGGATTACAAAAAAGCAAGAACTCGGGATTTTCTCTATTTTTAGCACTGCAATTATTATTACTTACGAATTTCGAACGGGGAGCTAATTTTGAAATTAGCGTTCCAATAACCTCAGGGCTATATCAAATGACCGGCTAGGTTTTCGGGCTACCTACTCACTCATGCATATATTTTCATAAAAAATCATGAAAATTTCATAAAACTAGATAAATTGATTTCAACGGTATGGTAGACCCTCTCTGATAAACATTTGTTCACAAAGGGTTCACCCCTCATAAAGAATTATAAATGTTTACAATTTAAAAAAACGTNGGGGGGGGGGATGAATTAAAGATGTAGTTCGACTTCCGTTTCTCATGGCTTGACCTAGGCTTGCTTTGCTAATTACGTCAATCAGGCTATCTACTAACAACTCCAGTTGTCTTCTCAAATACCAATAATCGATTGATGGGTTTTCCTCACACGAAGCGCACTCTATCCGACATCAACCAGCTCCCTAACACAAGGGAGCATGATGAACCCAAGCTATTTCAACTGCATTCTGCTCGTTTGACGATAAACAAAGAACATCGAAAACTGCCCCTTCCATGTGTTCTCAAATAAGCGATTATGGAAGTGTTTATGAAGACCCGTCCCTGATTCAGATAAATATTTTCAGGTGGGTTCTGTGGTAGCCGTCGGAGTTCTCAAGACGCGTGAAGGCATTCAATGGAGGATATTCCGAAATATTGTCATTTCTTGGGTAGTTACAGTGCCCGTTTCAGGTAAACGCGTTTTATATAGCTCTTCTAATGAAAGTCAAAATAATGCTTTGGAAAGCTACAAAGATTACGTAGAGACTATGCGTATCTCACAGGTCTTTCATATAAACCTTTGTGAAAGCCTTCTACTCAATTTCTTGGGGCGCAGTGAGGTTTGCTGCAGGAATTTTTTTTGATTAATATCAAAGCAGAGTTGTTTTGCCAAAATCGCAGTTATTTTTGACGGGCAAAACTGAAACATGGGCTCATTTCAGGTCTCCTATCAGCCGGTATTATGCTTCTCTTAAAATTCGCACTCTAGTCGCTCGTATTTGGAAAGCGAAACATCAGATGTGATCATATCAGATATACATAACTGCATTTTATACATACAGCATAACGGTTTGCGAGGTTCACTTCAATATGTTGAACACTTCATGCACAGGGACGCATAAGGCTTTCATGAGACATCTTTTGTGATTTCCTAATAAGTTTTATAATTTTTTATCATTTGTAAGACCATGTATTGTTGCTGTACATTATCCAGTGAAGTTCTACATGAAATTCTGTAATATATGCATACATTGTACACTAGCGAGCTGGACCCAAAATGAGCTGAGATCCGGCTGAATTGGAAAGCTTCGTGGGATACATGGCGAACAGAGTGAGGGAAATGCGTAATAATCAACAACTTGAATGTGACTGAGCGTTCATTAAAACTCGAGCGACAAAGCGCTGTATTTTATTATTGAGATGGTAACAAGTAACGGAACAAGGAGAGTAAAGCCTTTTTGAAATACGGTCGGCAGGAGAAGGACGCTGTCAGTAGAAGACAGGACTGAACAATGCTCAATGGTGGTGTAGCTTGCGCAAAAGTAGTTCCTTCAGAGCTAGAATGTTCAGATTCGACTGAACACAACCTGCAAAATGAGAACACTAGCAGTAAGTGAAAGTACCGAATAACGCCCAGAGGGGGTGTAGCTTGCGCAAAAGTAGTTTTTTTCAGAGCTAGAATATTCTAATTCGACTGAACACAACCTGCACCACAAAATGAGAACACTAGCAGTAAGTGAAAGGACCGAATAAAGCATAATATGGGTGCAAAAGTCGCTCCTCAGAGATAGAACATTGAATTCTCAAAGAATACAATCACCATGAGAGAGGCAATATTAGCAGATGACAGGACTGAACAATGCTCTATGGTGGTGTAGCTTGCGCAAACGCTGTTTCTTCAGAGCTAGAATGTTTAAATTCGACTGAACACAATCTGCAAAATGGGAACACTAGCAGTAGGTGAAAGGACCGAATAACGCCCAATGGGGGTGTAGCTTGCGCAAAAGTTGCTCCT